CAGCGCCTCTTTCTTTTCAGTCTAGAATGAACAATGACTGAATGCCGCAGGAGCGTGCAGCAATGTAAGGGTACCGCACGCACGGTATATTTAGTGAATCCACAAGCTCAGTCGACCGATAACCAAGAAGATGATCATCGTTGATCTCACAAGCTTACATAAGGAGCCCGCCACCGTAGAGTGATTGCAGCGCGAGATGATCACATGTTTTTAACAACCGGCATCGCGGCGAACCAAGATTTTCAAAGGTCAAACAAATCACTAAGGGTACGGTTACTGCCCCACCCTATTCTCTGGGGAGTCGCAGGTATTAATCCTGAACAGACCAAGGTCTTTTATGGACCAAACAAAATCGTCACTTTCTGGAAGTAATAGGCTACTAGAGTAAGATTACCACTGTTGCTGTTTGTCTTTCGCGCTCCGTGTGCTTCTCCAATTCCGATTGCTGCAGATGTTTTGCTTCCACCTGGAGTAACAGATTACGTCCTGACGCCAGACTCCTTATTACTAGGTCCATGGGTACTTTATTCATCACCAAGTTGTGTTCAGTATATTCACCAATTTACACTTTTCAGGTTTCATAATCTATTATGCAGCCGAGCGAAGGAGGGTTTTTTTTTGCGAGCAACGCCAACGGCACTTCGACGCAATCCATCTGGTGGATTTGAACCAACCCAAATATGTGCCACAAAACCAGACGACTGATTCAGTGAAAGACGAAACACTTTTTGAACGGGACGAAGTACCGCGTGGCCCCAGTGGGCGGAAGGACAACGTATTTCAGGCGTGACACGGTGTCTTCAGTCGTTGGTCCCCAATGCGACAAAAGTCACCGCGTAACTCAAGCAGCGGCGGAAGGTACAACATGTACTCACTGGTTCCGGCAAAGAAGCAGTTTTACATCCGGCATCTTCCAAACCAGCTGGTGTTCTAACTGGCTCAGCCGTGTGAAGATCTTCTTCCTAAAACAGTTTGGCCATTTCCATCATTATTCTCAGTCACGGTTATCAAATCATGTCACATTCATCTCGTGAAATGTTTAGCTGCGGTAGAGGTCCATCTCGCGGAACAACATTCCTGTAATGACTTACCGTCACAGTCCTTTCCATTGTACGTTTAATCATGATCTCAGTTGTTTTTTCAGACGATATTCTTGACGGGGCATAATCTTGTGGCTTCTGTGCACTAACAAGCTGGAACGCGGAAATCAGCTTCTAAGTTTCATATAGGATCAGCATTGATTCTCAACAAGATCCAGAAAAAATCAATGATGGATTTCAAAAATGTAGGCAAAACTGTCAACCTCTGTTGCTTCTGATGGAAGTTCACGGGCCGTTGTAGACGGTTTTTGCCGCAAACACTGGAAAGGTTCAAGACAGCTGCGCAGCATATGTGAGGAAATATCAGAGAGCAGTCATTTTTCAACTGGCTGAGATATCCCATGC